TGTAGTGGAGCAGTCCTCGCGGGGTGATTTCTCGCTTTCTGTCTCTCTGTCTCTCTCTGTCTGTCTGGTGAGCGCACGTGCCCTATAGCAAAAACCTCTCCAAAAAAAAAAGAAAAGAAAAAAGATAGCCAATTCTATACATCTGCACAGCCTTTTGAAAGGCAGCTACAACTATTTATTTTCACCTACAAATAGAGGATATGTATTCCATATACTAATGTGCTTCATCCTCCCCGGGTATAGAACATTAATTTGGAAGAATTTCAGAATGTGTTGTATATATGTCCTTTTCTACAGATCTAGCCTCTGACATCCAAATGCTGCTTATCAAACATGACTTGTTATTAGCACCTCAGATTTTAGTATAGTGAATCCTTATGACAACTTTATCTGTAATATGATCCCTTAGCTGCAGTCCCAGGCACTCGCCGCCCCCACTTGCCACCTAGACCTACACCCCCACGAAGAAAACCTTTGCCACCGAATAATGTCACCGGGAAGCCAGGAAGTGCAGGTATGTTAATTGTGTGCCTTCCTCTCCCTCCCTAATTTCAGTTTTCCTTGCCAACACAAGCCCTCTGGGTGTGCTAAGTCAGGCAATAGACTGGTGCATGTGACATGTGCTTGTATTGGCCCGAGAGACGGGCTCTGTAAATTCCAGCTCCACAGACTCCTGGGTGGATGGGATGGAAAAACTAAACAAAACCTCCCTCTGCCTCTAGGTCGGTTTTCCTCTTAGATGCCTACATACGTGGAGCCTAGGTAGCAGCTGACTTAGGCCTTGCAACAAGTGGATTATTTTAGACAAGAGGTAATGGAAAATGTGATGTCCTGTAGTTGACTTACCATTCTGCCTCCTGGAATAAAATCCTATACATCTCACTATCCACAAGCCTCTATGCCAGCCCAGGAAATATGGTGCTTGCAGAAAGACCTGGGACTGAAATTTGCAGGGAGACTTGGAGCCTGTGCAACAAGGCAGAAATATGTTTGGGAATCAGTCTGCCTCTCACCTCCATGCCTGTGCTTGTTGCTTCTCCCTGTAGAACAACCCTTTCTGTCACTGAAGATATTCACAGCTTCATCCTTTTCTTAAAGGACCCTCCTGTAGTGCCCAATGGCCTTGGTTGCTGCCATATAAAACCCTAGTTCCCTCCTGCCATCCCAGTCTGCCTGAACTAGATTCATAAACACTTTCCAGTTCAGGAATGTTGGTCTCTGCTCCCCAGTCTCCACCATCTCCCTCTAACTCAGGAAATGGCTGCACTGACAGCCAAACA